CAAAGTTTAAAATTGAACCGAAATAAATTATTAAAAAATTTAATCAAACTTTGATAGCTACTTTAGTAGACCATTTCAAAGTCTGCAACCACTTCGGAAAAGTTTCAAAGTTTCAAAGCAAGTGTCATTTCAAAAACTAATTGATCCAATTTTTGATTAACCATAAAAATGGCAGATAATGGAATGATCAATTGTGTTTTATGTCAGGCTTTTAGGATAGTTAACTAAATGGATGTCACTTGGCAACTTTATAATGATTTTTTATCTTTAAAGCCATAAATTTATTTATAAATAATAATGATTTTTATTTTGAAATTATCGGTACATAAATTCTTTTCAAAGGCAGTTAATTATTGTTAATTTAAACAAAAATAAATTTTGAAAAAAAAATTTAAAAGCTAAAAATGTTATTATTATTGGCATCTATAACATTGGACATGATTAGGGTTTTGAGTTTCTTTCTTCTTGATATGTATAGCATAGTGGGGATGGGCAATCCTTTAATAATAACAGAAGATTGGAAAATTATACTGAACATCATTTAGGCCCAAATCTATACAAAGCAAAAAATCATGATGGGCCAATGATCCAAACATATTTTTGACAAATCGCAAATCAAATTACAATTAGCAGTTAATTAACCATAAAAACTAACTCTGTGAAAGTACTGAATAAAAATAATAACAAGTACGAAAACTAATTGATCCAATTTTTTTTTTTTTTTGAAGAATAATAAGAATAATTGAATTGTTAGTGAGAAAGTGATTATTTTTTGTTTTTTTTTTTTTTTTTTTTTTTTTTTATTTTTTTTTTTTATCTTTTTTTTTTTCTTATTATTCTATTTATCTTTTTTTTCTTTTTTTTTTTATTATTTTTTTTTTTTTTTTTTTCTTTTTTTTTTTTTTTTTTTTTCTTTATTTTTTATTTTTTATCTTTTTTTTATCTTTTTTTATTTTTTTATTTTTTATTATTCTTTATTTTTATTTTTTTTTTTTTTTTTTTTTTTTTTTTTTTTTTTATTTTGTTATTATGATTTGTATTTTGAGGCCTAAGTGGCCATATTTGCCTTTTGTTTTATTTTTTTTTTTTTTTTTATTTTTTTTTTAATTTTATTTTTATTTTATTTTTTATTTTTTTATTTATTTTTTTTTTTTATTTTTTTTTTTTTTGTTTTTTCTCTTTTATTTATTTTATTTTTTTTTTACTTTTTTTTGTTCTTTATTATTTTTTTTTTTCCTTTCTATTTATTATATTGGATAGAAATAGTATCTATATCTATTTTCCGGGTCTCAGGCATCACAGTTTTACTGCGGCTCAGCAGCTCACGCTTCTACAGCCAGCGCAGCACCACAGCCGGAGCACACTGACGGGCACTATACTGATGATATACGGGCTCAGCTTGCTGATTAGCAGAGACAGATTGCAGAGCTTAGAGCGCATGTGATGCGGCTGTCCGTTGAGCCCGGTACTGGTACTTCTTCCTCTGATCCTGCGCCTGCTACAGACTGATATGTTTTGACGTCTCAGCAGCAGCCAATACCGGCTCCTCATCCCAATGCTGCAGACGATACCTTGGTCACCCCTCCTGGCGCTACATCACCTCCAGCAGGTACTCCTCCCGGCGATCTGACATCGGGAGATCCGACATCGCAGCATATATGTTTTGTTTATTGAAGCTGATGCTAATGTTAGTCTTGATCAGTCCGGCGATGCTCTTCAGCCTCCATTTCCTTTCTTGGATGAGCTCCTTTTTGATGTGCCTGGCTCTAGTGGGATACTTCATTGCCCTGTCATACTGATTCAGGTAAGTTCTTAACAAGTTTCGGTTCAGTAGCACTGAAAACTGAAATTGTTTCCAAAACCCTTAGCAGGTAAATTTTAATTAAAACCTAATTGAGCCTTATTCCTAAATGAAATAATACAAAGAAATTTTTGTTTGTTTTGGCAGATCACACGGTTTAAATGTGGTGGTTTCACATTTGCTATCCGTCTCAATCATACCTGAGTGATGGTCCTGGTCTAGCTCAGTTCTTGTCAGCCATAGCCGAGATGGCGCGTGGAAGACAATCCCCTTCTATTTTCCCAGTATGGGAAAGACATGTACTTGATGCAAGAAACCCACCCCATGTGACCTGCATACACCGTGAATATGACCACATAGAAAATGGCCAAGGAATTCCATTTCCACTTGATGACATAGTTCATAGATCCGTTTTTGTTAGCCCTTCTGCTTTATCTACTCTTCGTAGTAGATATATTCCTCCTCATCTTCCTCGTTGCACTGGTGCTGAAATATTAACTGCATGTTTATGGAAATGTCGCACTATTGCGCTTCAGCCAGACGCCGGACAAGAAATGCGAATCATATTAGTTAACAACGCGCGCAAGTTTAATCCTCCTCTATTACCAGAAGGGTATTACGGTAACGGATTTGTCCTGTCAACGGCAGTCGCGACTGCCGGAGAAATTTCCAAGAATCCAATAGGTTAGACAGTTGATTAGAACTGATAAGAAAGGCTAAAATGGAATTCGATAGAGAGTATATAAAATCGGTGGCAGATCTACTGGTGATTAAGGGTAGGCCTCATATTGCTGTAGAAGGTGCTTACGTTGTGTCGGATGTGAGACATACAGGGTTTAAAGAAGTGGATTTTGGATGGGGCAAAGCAATCTATGGCGGGCCCGCAAAAGCCATCCCTATATTAGCAAGCTTTTACGTACCGTTTGAACGTAAGAAAGGTGAAAATGGAATCCTAATTCCAATTTGTCTGCCAGCCCAAGCAATGGAACGATTTGTGAAGGAGTTGAAGAATTTGTTGGACGATAACACAGTTATTGATGTCAATATTTTTTTTTTTTTTTTTTTCCTTTTTTGTAGTACCAAGGAAAGTAAATTTGAACCAGAATATATTGTTACGTCATACATGCACTTATCATTACAGTATGTCTTGGTGTGTTAAGTGGTATCATTGTTACTTATGATGAACTTTGAATATCTTGCTTTGAAGTGTGGGTGCATGCAATAATAAAATTTGTTTCGTGATATAATATTATCTTTGGTAGGACGCAATATTGTAATGTAATAAAAATTTAATGAATCAACATTTAATTACTATGTAATGTAATGGCTATTTTATTTTTATGTTTATTGTAATTAGGTTAAATGTATAAATTCACCTTTTAATTTTGTTATTTTAATATTGTGGTACTTTTAATTTTGAGGGAAACCTATTATGCATCGAAAATCGTGAATTTTAATAACTTTATGCACTTTTCCACACTAATAAAATAATTTTTATGGTTTTAATTTTTATATACAAAATATTAATTTGATGTGTGGTTAACACAACTTTTGATCAATAGCTTTATATTTTTTTAATTATTTAATAAATATTTAATCGATTTAATTTTACAAGTTAAAGTATATAAGATGTAATTTTATAAATTAAAATATTAAACAAATCAAAATAAAAATTGAGAACGATAAAAAATTAAAATAACAAAATTCAGAAATAAATTCACGTATTTTTTGGAATTCCAAATAAAGATAGAATGATATTTTTGAACATGTTAACGTACCATACAAGATATATATATATACACACACTTATCCATTTTATTAATTATTTTACCAAGGTGGGGCAAGAGTTGTTAGCTTTTGTCTACCATTTAAAAATAAAAAAAAAAAGGAGAAAATGGGATTATTCTGTCAATTGTGTTGTCTGCGCAAGCAATGGAGAGATTTGTAAAGGAGCTTAAGGGTATTTTTGAGAAACTATCCATTGGTCTCGGTACCACTAAATCTGCCTTGTAGAAGTGAAAGGAAGGTGAAGGTGTTGCCATTTAAAACTAAAAATATTCTAAAATTATGTTGGATGATTTATACAATAATAAAATAAATTTATAGTGTAATGCAGAAATTTATGAATTTACGTGTAATATCTTTGATAACAAAATATCAAGTTATATGTAACAATAAATCTTAATATTTAATTAATAATAATTAAGATTTATATTAAAAAAATATAAATTTGACCAATGAATATTAGAATAAGTAATTTGTAACTTTTCTCCATTAAGTAAACTCGAGGATTCAATTGTCATGGTTGAAGTAAATATGCACCGTGAATATTTTACGTCTTAGTAGGCCAATCCGGTGCAAGACCTGTCTTACAAGTATTTGACTTACTAAATTAAGAGACAATGGTAACGTATTTAACTCTAAATTAAGAAGAGTAAATAGTTAATGATATTTTATAAAATTTGTGGAGGTTATTGAATCTAATTTCTTTGAAAAAAGAAGGGGCAGCGTGGCTTCACCACGACCGTGCCCATTGAGAAGATGGCAGTTCTCTTAAGAATTTTCATAAATTCGATCTTTAATAGTTAATAAAATTATTGAAAAGATTAAAAACTTTGGATTTTACTTCGGAAATTAAAGAAATTAATTTTTATCTGATTATATATACACACATAAATTATGCAATATATATCATTAAGGTCTACCTAAAATATTTTCTTCAAAAAGAAAGAAAGAAAAACATTGTGACTTACTATTAAATTCAAACTTTGTGGTTTTCTTAATTCAAATAAGTGAATCTTAAATTAAATTATAATTTATACTAATCAATAAAAAATTCAATGAACTCATGTTTACGGTTTAAGTAATAATTATATCATTTGTATACCAAGAAATAATTTAATGGTATATCAATAGATCCAAATTGAAATCTTTTGCCTTAATATTAAAAAAAAATAAAAAAAATTATATATTTTTAATTGAAAAATTATATACACTCCTCATTATATTTACCTAAATAAGATCAGAAGTATGTGGACAAATCAATGAAAATAGAAATCATTTTTAAAATCATTCATACTTATTTTTTTTATCAGAAATATTCCCTTTTCAATAAAAAAAAAAAATCATATCATAAAAACGTCGTTATCTTGTGAATTTTTTGCGTGGAAAATTGTCATATGACTATCTTCTTCTATAAATAAATGCATATCGCCATGTCAAGATCACCTATCTGCAGAGCTGTGTCTTTCTACTTGATTACTAACTTGGTGTTCGTTTTCTGCCTAGTTAATGGCACCACCTGCGCCCATTTTCAAGGTTCAGAGGTGTGAACCGGAACTAATCACACCTTCAAAGCCTACCCCTCACGAGTTCAAGCCATTATCGGACATTGATGATCAAGAAGGTCTTCGATTCCATATCCCAGTCATACAAATTTATCGTCATGACCCCTCAGTGGAAGGGAAAGACCCTGTTCAGGTTATTAGAAATGCTATTGCTAAAGCTCTTGTTTTTTACTATCCATTCGCTGGCAGGATTAGAGAAGGGCCTAACCGTAAGCTCATTATGGACTTGTTTTTTTACTATCCATTCGCTGGCAGGATAGAGAAAGGGCCTAACCGTAAGCTCATTATTGGATTGCAATGGTGAAGGTGTTTTATTTATTGAAGCTGATGCCAAATTCAGTCTTGATCAGTACGGCGATGCTCTTCAACCTCCATGTTTCCTTTCTTGGAATGAGCTCCTGTTTTGAGTGCCTGGCTCTAGTCGGATACTAAATTGCCCTGTCATTAACTGATTCAGGTAAGTTTCTTAACCAAGTTTTCGGTTTTCACTTAGCACTCAAAACTGAAATTGTTTCCAGAAAAACCTTCTTAGTCGGTTAAATTTTAATTAAAACCAATTGAGGCCTTGTTCCTAACATTATGGATTGCAATGGTGAAGGTGTTTTATTTATTGAAGCTGATGCCAATGTCAGTCTTGATCAGTCCGGCGATGCTCTTCAACCTCCATGTCCTTTCTTGGATGAGCTCCTTTTTGATGTGCCTGGCTCTAGTCGGATACTAAATTGCCCTGTCATACTGATTCAGGTAAGTTCTTAACAAGTTTCGGTTCACTAGCACTCAAAACTGAAATTGTTTCCAGAACTCTTAGTCGGTAAATTTTAATTAAAACCTAATTGAGCCTTGTTCCTAAATGAAATAATACAAAGAAATTTTTGTTTGTTTTAGCAGGTCACACGCTTTAAATGTGGCGGTTTCACATTTGCTATCCGTCTCAATCATACCATGAGTGATGCTTTTGGTCTAGCTCAGTTCTTGTCAGCCATAGCCGAGATGGCGCGTGGAAGACAATCCCCTTCTATTTTCCCAGTATGGGAAAGACATGTACTTGATGCAAGAAACCCACCCCACGTGACCTGCATCCACCGAGAATATGATCACATAGAAAATGACCAAGGAATTCCATTTTCACTGGATGACATAGTTCATAGAGCCATTTTTATTAGCCCTTCTGTGATATCTACTCTTCGCAGTAGATATATTCCTCCTCATCTTCCTCGTTGCACTGATGTTGAAATATTAACTGCATGTTTATGGAAATGTCGCACTATTGCGCTTCAGCCAGACGCCGGACAAGAAATGCGATTGATGTTAATTAACAATGCGCGCAAGCTTAATCCTCCTCTATTACCAGAAGGGTATTACGGTAACGGATTTATCCTGTCAACGGCGGTTGCGACTGCCGAAGAAATTTCTAAGAATCCAATAGGTTATGGACTGGAATTGATAAGAAAGGCTAAAATGGAATTCGATAGAGAGTGTATAAAATCGGTGGCAGATCTACTGGTGATTAAAGGTAGGCCTCATTTTGCTGTAGACGGTACCTACATGGTGTCGGATGTGAGATATGCAGGGTTTAAAGAAGTGGATTTTGGATGGGGCAATGCAATCTATGGCGGGCCTGCAAAAGCCATCCCTATATATGCAAGCTTTTACGTACCGTTTGAACGTAAGAAAGGTGAAAATGGAATTGTAATTCCAATTTGTTTGCCAGCCCAAGCAATGGAAAGATTTGTGAAGGAGCTGAAGAATTTGTTGGACGATAATAGATCCTCCCTTATTATGTCTGCTCTCTAGGTTAACTGGAATTGCTTTTTTTTTTTATTTTTCCTTTTTTTTTCTTTAGCATTGGAGAAAGGGAATTTGAAACGGCATATATTATTAGGTCATACATGCACTGGCGTATGTCTTGGCGTGTTAAGTGGTATTATTGTTACTTATGATGCACTTTGAATATCTTGCTTTGAAGTGTTCGAGCATGCAATAATAAAATTTGTTTCGTGATATTAGGTCATCTTTGGTAGGACACAATATTATAATGTAATAAAAATATAATGAATCAACATTTAATTACTACGTAACGTAATGACTATTTTATTTTTATGTTTATTCTAATTAGGTTAAATGCATAAATTTACCTTTTAATTTTGTTATTTTGGTAGTTTCAATTTTGATGAAAACCTATTATGCTTCTAAAATCATGAATTTTAATAACTTTATGCACTTTTCCAAACTAATAAAATAATTTTTATGGTTTTAGTTTTATATACAAAATATTAATTTGACGTGTGGTTAACACAACTTTTGATCAATAGCTTTATACTTTTTTTAATCATTTAATAGATATTCCATTGATTTAATTATTCCACGATAGAATTGTAAAGGCCCAATGCATAAATTTTACCCTGTAGTTTAACGATTATCCTTGTGATCCCCTGAACTATTGTGGGGAACCCATCACGATCCTGTATTTTCACATTTCAATAATAATTATGCCTCTCGCTTAAAATAAAATGAGAAAGTATAAGATCATGATTGAACCTCTACAAAGATATTTTATTTTGGTGAGGGGCATAATTATTATTGAAATGTAAAAGTATAGAATCATGATTATAAAATAATATAATCAATGCAAATTATAGATAGTATTTGGGTAACCATTTGGTCTCGTTTGATATAATTAATTATATTCTTATTATATGTTTATTATAGTCTTATCATGTTTAAAAAATAAATAGTACATAAAATGATATATTATTTAAAATAATAAACTTTAGTCGCATTTTTTAATAATATAATTGCACATGAAGTATTATATTTAAATATACTAACTAAAAAATTTATATTTATAGAGAAAAATTAATAGCCAATCAAAATTAAATTACCCTTATTTTTCAACCAATAGAATCAATCTATAAATTTAACATGGACATATATACTACCAAAAGAATTTATATTTAAAGTTCAGAATAATATTTATATTAATTTAACTTTATTAATTGTTGGTACTGAAACCCCCGGTTTGTCAAAATGATTCAAGGTTAGGTTAGGTATTACCTAAAGAATATTAATTATGAAAATAAATAAATATGCCAAAAAAAAGTAAAAGCAACAAGAATATTATCATAATTGGTCGACATTGCCGCACCTCTTTTAATTTGGCTATCTCTTTATTTTTATTTTTGTTTTTGTTTCCCTCTGGAGACTATAAAGGACACGAGTTAAAACTACTAATTTTATTGTAATTGCAGTATAAATTGGAGTTTACGCGACTGTAATAATCATTTTAATTGCTTTCTCTTTTATTCTTAGCTCATATTATTGGTTAATTATTATTATTCGTATAATTATCAAATCAATATATTAAATTATCATTATTTTTTCAATGATCCATAAATTTAGTAGGATGTATATACTAATTCAAGAATTTATATTTAAATGGAAAATTAATACCCAATCAAAATAAAATTACCTTTATTTTTTCAACCAATAGAATTAAAATCTTTTAAGATATTTTTGTTAATCCATAAATTTAGTAAGGGCATTTTAAAAATTCAATATTCCTCCATTCGTACATTTATATATATTCATGTTTTTTGTTATGTTTTTTTTTATCAGCAAATAAAATATTTTATTAATTTTTTAACATATCCAGGAAATACTTAACATTCAAAAGTAACTGTACTCAAGCCATTAGGCTTACCGAAAAAAAACCCCACCTATTCTATGAATATTAAGTGAAAAACCCTCGAAAAACCTCAAAATACATGAGTATAAAAAGAAAACTCAAAAAATCTCTAACTACTTATTGTGTACAGTGTTTTTTTTTTTTTTTTACATGTGTTGCATGTTGTTATTATTTGGTATTAGTCATTGTTTATACTCATTAATTTATTCGTATATATTATTAAGTATGATTATAATTTTTCTCCTATATTCTCTAGATATTTATATAATATTAAGACATGATTTTATGTATAACAAACTTAAATTAAAATTTATCGCTATTTAAGTAATATTCATATATAAACCAATAATATTTTTCTTGAACTAATTTTAATATGATAGGGCAACATTAAAAGCCAGGTATATTTAATAGAATAATTATAGACGATAAAATAAAAAATTATTATTAATTATAAGATTAGATGTGCCAAAATTAAAAATTATTATTATTTATAAAATATTAATTATTAATTTTAAAAAGCTAATAAAATTATCGAGAAGATTAAAAACTTTGGAATTTATATGAAGAAATTAATTTTTATCCGATCATATATACACACATAAGCCATATATAGCATTAAGGTCTAGATCAAATATTTTCTTCAAAAAGAACGAAAACATTGTGACTTACTATTAAATTCAAACTTGGTGGAATTCTTAATTCAAATACGTGTGGATCTTATATTAAATTATAATTTATACTAATAAATGAAAAAAATTCAATGAACTCATATTTACGGTTCAAGTGACAATTATATCTTTAATTATATCTTTGCATTTGAAAATATAATTTAGTGATAATTATATATACTATCTATCAATATATTCAAATTGAAATCTTTCTCCTTAAGAAAAAAAAAAAAAGAAAACAATTATATTTTTTTAGTTAAAAAATTATATACATACCGGATTACACTTACCTAAATAAGATCATAAGTATGTTCAAATAACCTAAAAATTCAATTTCATAGATTTTTTTGTTTAAAAGTTTAGTGTTTAATTGCAACCAATGAGATTATACAATGAGATTTAAAAAGGAATATTTAATTATTGCTAAATTGGACTTATAAACGAGTTTGAAATCTTCAAACCGGATAAAAACTTATAAATCAGTTGAAAACCGGACCAAACCGTTGAGTTGGATCGAACTAATTCGAATCGAACCGGAATGGTATGAAAAACCTGGAAGCCTCTCTTTTCTTTTTTGTATTTCCTTGTTCTTCTCCTCTTCTCTTCTTCGTTCCAGCGCCGCTCAACCTTTTTCTCTCTCCTCTTTTCCGGTCACCACAGACAGGTCCAACGGACTCCCTTCGCGCCACCAGTCTCTCTCCTTGTCTCCCTCTGTTTCTGTTCTCGGTGGACGCAGCAGAGGCAAGCTGCGATTTCGGCTTTCGATCGCCGCTCCTCCCGATCTCAGCCACCGACCGCCTTTGCTCAGGTCGCATCTTCCCCCCGCTCGCGACTCCGACTTCTGCTGCAGCACAGGCGAGCTGCGGTTCGTCCCTTTTGGATCGACAGTGACATAAACGCGGCACTAAGCTCCTGTCGAGCCTGTTCCGGCCGATTAGAGGGCCGATCTCGCCCAACAGACACCAAATATGGATTCATTATTGAAATCCGAACCAGGTAGATGCCAAGAGTGCTCAATTCCGAGCAGCCACAGTTTCCCGACCACCGTCGACGGTGTCGCCGGTGACCGGCCGGCCGGTGACCCCAGGAGGCAGAAGCGAGAATTATACTGAAATCCGGATTCTGATTTTTAATCGGTATATTTTAATTTGTTAAATTCAATATAAATTTCAAGTTTTGAAATTGTTGTTATTAACTAAATTAGTTTTAATTAAAATAATTAAGGTTAAGAATAAGATAAGATTTTATCAAATTAGAGCAAATTAAATATTTAAGTGTTATACGAATTATTTGGAGGACTTGAAAATGATTTAAGTAAAATGAATGGAAAATGATTTAAGTAAAATGAAATTTATTATTGAATGGGTAACAATTATTTTAAGATGGTGATGGAATATGTTATTTAGAGGATATAATATTTTGAGTTAAGATTAATTGAGTAAGGATTATTTATATTTGGTTATATAAAATATTTATTATTTGGCGACTAGTTAAGGAAGTAAACCATACCGAGATGAAAATATATAAGAATATATTGGGATTAGATCGAAGGTTATATTAATTTATAAGTTATGAGTTAAACATAAAATTATTATTTGTGATTATTAAATTATTGATTGATCGATATATGAACTATGTGAGTAATAGTCGATAAGTGTATTAAATAGTTAATACTTGAATAAATAGAAAGTTCTGTTTGAAGGAAAATATTATCAGAAATATCGATAAGATTTAGATAAATTAAAGCAGTCTAAACAGATATATGATAGGTTAATTATTATTTAAGGAAAATCATCCGTTTAATGCAATCTTTTCTTTATATTTGAATTTTATCTAGATTATCCGTGTTTGTCAACGGCTCTTGCTAGTCAAAATTCAAATGGAGGTTTGATTCTTCTTTTATCACTGTGAGTAATAATAAATGATACATGCCATCATTTTCGTACATGCATTGACCATTTCACATCTTATAAATATATAAATACAAATGATACTCAGCCTTCACTATTTTAATATTAAATTATAGAAATAACATTATTTACATTATGATCTACCATGTAAATTATAGTAATATAAGCATATGAGAATTAAATATTTATACATATTCCATAATTATATTCCCATGTGCTTATTAATTTCCTATGCAATTTACTACATTATGCGAGTTGATTGGATTACTTGTGATGTGATAATGTTATGCCTTGTATTCAGGTAGAATTGGGATGAAGTGGGTCACCATGAGATTGTGAATTTAGAATTTATATTAGGGGTGTAGATACTAATTAAAGAATTTATATTTAAATGGAAAACTAATAACCGGTCAAATTTAGAATACATTTATTTTTTCAACCAATAGAATTAAAATATTTTAAGATATTTTTGTCGATCCATAAATT